CCCCCCCCCCACAGCCCCGCCCCCCCTCCATTAGATCTGACTCTCTCTCTCTCTCTCTCTCTCTCTCTCTCTAAACACTTCCTCTATCCTCCCTAAATTCCAGCATTTACATTTCCCCCAAATCCCAAATTCCACTCTCACAGCCTCACAGGTAAACTCCAATTCCTCTCTTTCTTCTACTATTTCCGGTTGACCCTCCAACTAACAGCCACGGATTACGAGATCCGCTGTTTGGTTCCGTTTCTGGGATCCCATTTCTTGTCCGTATTTGAAATTTCCCCGGGTTTTGATGTCCACGAGGAAAAGTTGATCCTCTGTTTAGTTTTGTTTACGTTATTTGGTGATATAAATGGAAATAGGAGTTTAGGAGGGAGCTTAAGATCTGCTTCTGCTTCTCTTGTCTTGGACAATTGGGTTGGTTGGGGTTTGTTTGGGTTGGTTGGTTTGTTAGGTGCATTGCGTAGAGATCTATTAGGTAACTATAATTGGGAGCTGGTTGGCTTTAGGTGTGCTATCTAACAGAAATTTGACCTAATGGAGGTGGGGCGGAGCTGTGGGGAAGGTGGGTTGGAGGTTAGGCTGGAAGGCAGGGGAAATGGGAGAAAATGAGTTTTTTTTTTTTGGATTTTAGATTTTAGATTTTTTTTCATTTTTTTAATTAATTTTATTTCTTATGTGGAATCCACGCCAGTTAAAAGATGGGTCCCACAAATGCCATGTAGGCAGATAACAGATTTTTTGACGATCTCATTAACGGATGGGGCAAATTGTAGAATTTCCGTGATGTTGAGTATGTACTAGTAAATATCCCCAAAATCGGGTGTGAACTCGTAAATGACCCTATAGATTGGAGGTTTTTCTGTAGTTTGTTCTTTTTTTTTAATTTAGGTAATTTCACAAGTGGATTACATTGTAATTAATATTTTGTAATAGGTGGGTCAACGCTTTTTTCCTTTTCTAAATCAAAAGAAACAAATCTGATTTCATGTGTTTTTTACTATATTTAATAAGAATTTATGGTAAAATAAAGCACTCTCTCATTTCTCACTCAGAAGATCAATATTATGTGTTAACTATTTTGGTAATGGAAATTATGTGTTTAATTTTCACTATCTGTCACTTCTGATTTACTTTTAGTGACAAAAATCCACTTTGCATTCATAGGATGTAATGTTTGGAGGAACTGAAACGGTGGCATCAGTGATTGAATGGACAATGGCAGAGCTGATGAAGAGCCCAGAAGATCTCCAAAAAGTGCAGCAAGAGCTCATCAATGTTGTTGGCTTGAACCGTAGGCTCCAAGAAACCGACCTCGAAAACCTAACCTACCTCAAATGTGCAGTCAAGGAATCCCTCCGTCTTCACCCACCAATCCCTCTCCTCCTCCACGAGACTGCAGAGGAGACTTCCGTGGCTGGTTACTCATTTCCAATCGGGTCACGGGTTTATATTAATGCATGGGCTATCGCCCGTGACCTGACCGCATGGGATGAGCCAGAAACATTCAAACCCTCGAGGTTTTTGAACGATGACTCGCCGGATTTTAAAGGGAGCAACTTCGAGTTCCTTCCATTCGGGTCGGGCCGTAGGTCGTGTCCGGGTACGCAATTGGGGCTGTATGGGCTGGAGATGGCTGTGGCCCATCTTCTTCATTGTTTTGCATGGGAGTTGCCTGATGGAATGAAGCCTAATGAGCTTGACATGAATGATGTTTTTGGACTGACTGCACCCAAAGCAGTTCAGCTTGTTGCTGTGCCGAGTTACAGGTTAAATTGCCCACTTTGAAAAGTTTGAGGAGATTGTGAAATACTACTTCGGTTTTAAAACAGTTATGAGCCTATTAATTTACGTATTGGTACCTTTAATTAACGGTCCGGTCTTGAATTTTTCAGGGCTCAAGGGCCCTACATATATATATTAAACTTAGTGATGAACTCATTCCTATTTTTCAACCAAGATCTAACCTGTTCACAATAACACAAAGAACAACATAACCTGGAATTTGAGAAATCCCCCTCCACAGCAACAAACTTGATATTTCCAAATTTGCAATCAATTAGAGCTTAAAAGAATTCCTGCACAGAGAATGTGTAACTCATGTGAGTTCACAAATCTACAAACAAAAAAAAAACAAAAAAAATCATATTTTCCTTTTCATCACGAAAAATTACTTTAAATTGATTTTTACAAGGATCAATTTTGTATTGAACAAAAGTCCACACTTTGGATTTTGTAATCTCCCCAGTCTACCAATAGAAAAATTAATTTAGGGATTCACAACTCTGTAACTAATTTATAATAATATAATATAACACTTATAAAAATAAAATAAAATATTAAGCCCCTGAATAATGGGCTCAAAGCGGTCGCACTGACTACCCCTATGAAGGGCTTGGCTTGTTAATTAATAAGGTAGTTTATTATGCTATTTGTTTTAGTCTTCTATTTATTCTTGTAATCCATCTAAAGCCATGCAGATAGTAGGGTTCAGGCCCTAATCACTGACTGGTTAGTATAGTTGGCAATTTCGGGCACAACCCGTTACACGATTCGAAATCCACACGAGAATTTAGCGGATTCAACCTGCAAGATTAAAATTCGGGTCAACTCGTCATGATCCCTTTAATAAATGGGTGGGTTTCGGATAACCCGCCAACCTTCTAAAATACCTATTAACCGGCTAAAATACCTATGTAACCCGCCAACTTGCTAAAATACACATGTAACCTGCCGACCCACTAATCCGTTTATTTGTTTATTCTTCATTTTTCTATTTTTAAAAAAAATATCTTTTAGTTGCTACCACATAGCGGATCAACCTGCCACAACCCGAAACCCATGAGAATTTAACGGGTCAACCCGTGCATGACACGTTTATTAAACGGGTCGAGTTTGGATTAAGCATTCCTAACACATATATAATCTTGACACGACCCGACCCATTGCCAGCCATACTTGTTTGTATGGATCAATCAAATAAACAAACGAAAATATTCCCAATAAGAATCAAATGATTAAACTATGTTGGCTAATTTTTACAAGGGGTGATCTTTGAATGATAATCTAAAAAACGAATGTCCAAATTATGAGATTATATTGCTAAGTGGACCAAAAAAGTGATCAAAGCCGTATTAACTTACTAATCGATTAAAGCTTCACACAACCAATTCCCGATAAGAATCAAATGATTAAACTATGTTGGCTAATTTTTACAAGGGGTGATCTTTGAATGATAATCTAAAAAACGAATGTCCAAATTATGAGATTATATTGCTAAGTGGACCAAAAAAGTGATCAAAGCCGTATTAACTTACTAATCGATTAAAGCTTCACACAACCAATTCCATTAAACGGCCACATAATTATTCATGTCAAAATTTGGCCACAAGTAACAAAAATCACTTGTAGACGAAAACTCATATGTTAGCAATTATTTTCAAATGAAAATATAAAAGCCGCTCCCTTCATGTGATGATTAATTTATTCATACAAGAAGAAAGAGGGAGGGAGGAAAATTTCAATTTAATCATACAACTGGGATCATGCCATTTCAGGCATTGGGCTTCTTTTATGCTATAAATTACTTATACAATCAAAATTGTTACTTAGGTCTTCTACGGTAAGGGTATAGAATGTCATCCACACTCTGTTTGATGTAGTGTCCCACTCTATTCACATTCTTAGCAACACCTGATGCTACTAGTATTGCATTCCTCTTAAACCTGCATATATACAAATACTCAAGAGTTTTAAAGTGTAACAAGAACAAACAGAACTGGAAAACTCAAACACAAAACTATGTGAAAAAAGGAAGAAGTCATGGATAACTTCTTTTCTTTGCTAACTCAAAGTTCTGCCATACCTGTTGAGATATTCATCTCCTGTTGAATGTGGTGGTCTGTAGCTTCGGGGTTGAGGAATCGGCCGAACATTTTCTGGAGAGGGAAACACACCAAGAATTTACAAACAAGGTTGCTGTGAATGTTATAAGAAAATTCAGTCATTTTGCAACAGTAAGTATTCACATTAAATATTAAGGTTTGTTGGTTTACTATGATTCTCAAAAGCTGAAGTTGTCAAGTGGATAGACCTAAGAGAGGTATATAGCTTTACTGGACACTTAGCCCAATCAATGTGGAACTAGTGCTCAACACTTTTCCTCACGTGGATTCCCTCTTGTGGGTGATGCATGTGACAAGTGGCCTCAACCGAGTGTTCTTATGTATAATAACGTGACCTACACATTGTGGCTCTAATACCATGATAAATTTGTTGATTTACCAGATATATATTCTAAACACAAATAACAGAGATAGATTTGGAAAAGAAATATTATACTTAGATGTAACAAAACAGGCACATGTTCTTCAAATAAGTTTATTGCCTTTACACATTCACAAATAGAGCACATACTTAATTAATAGTAAGACATTTGGAACAACAAAGCCTTATCCCAACTAATTGGGGTAGGCAACGTGAATCATGGTCCTCTATATCGTCCTATGTCGGGCCATATTATCATCTAAGTCACCCTAATTATATTATCATATTTGTCTTCTTTCCCTCAAACTACTCTCTATGTTGATTAAGTTACTCTTTCTGACTTCCATATTGATCTGCATTGAATATGTCCAAAAACTCCAAAGTACCATAGTCAGTTCTCTCCCATTTCCTATCTAATAAATGCTATTTTTTGGCCTGTCAATGGGTGATACTTCACCTTTCTCAAAAATGTGTTCATTTTGAATCCTATCATTCCTTGTCTTCCCACACATACATCTCAATATCCTCATTTCTGCCACACTCACTTCATCAAAATGTTGCTTGCCCTGCATCTATCCCATATAGCATGTTGACCTAACAGCTATTATATAAACTTTACCAAGCATTTGAGAGCCAAATGAAAAATGGACCCACTGCACATGAGTGCCATGGGGATCAATTATCAAGAGAAGAAATTATACATCAAAACAAGGAAAAAAGTGGGAGATCGCAGTCTGATGGTAACCAGACATCCCTTAATGAATGCAGGAAAATCACATTGCAGATGAATATATAAAGACTGCATCTAACTTCAGGTGTTTAAGGTGCGAAAGCAACAAAATAGAGACTTATACATACACAAATAAAGTCACTGAATCAATTAGTATCAGAGACTAAGAAGGTACGCGAAGATGGATTCTTTCTATATTCCAAAAAATCAAGAGTGAAATGAGATCCCCACAGCCTTTTCAAATAAATAAACAGAGAAAAGAAAAACTTCATATACCTTCAATTTTATGAGCAGGAGCATCAGCCTGAGCATGGCCTGCAGGTTTTTTGTCATACAATACCTGACACAAGCTAGCTATGTCACATATCAACTGAGTTTATGAGAAGATCATAAACATACAAATATGAGCATTATGAATTATCAATATAATTATATAACTAACTTAGACATAAGGACAGGAAAGACGGGAAAGTGACATGGATATTCGACTAGAGAAATTCCAAACAGTCTTTAAGAATAAAATGATATGTAATATGAGCTTTACAAATCAAGAAAACAAGGAAAAGATAGAGTCAAGATAGAACACCTCAAGACCAACACAAAACGGCAATTCCGCTTGTTTATTCTGCTGATCACTAGGAGAATCTTTTCTGTCTAGGAACACCGAGTAACCTACGCAAGCATACTTGAAATCTGTAAGGCTGCGGTCCGCTTTAGAAGCCTCCAACTCAGTCTCTCCCACAATGTAGCTGGGCACTGGTCATAAATCCATAAACAAGCGCATACTTATTAGATGACTAGAAATAAATAAATTTCAGATGCATCTAAATACACAGGAAGAAAATTATAAGAAATTATTATATACTAACAAATAACAAGGACATCATAAACAATACATACTCCACAAAGACAGAGCCCTTTTTTCGTGTGGGAAAATACAGGCATCAATTCAGCCTGTGAATGTTGTAGCACTAGAATATCGAAGAACCGATCTTTCTGGCTTCCAGATTCAATTTGATTTATGCATCAAAGTAATTCATCAATTCAATTTAAGAGTCTATGAACTTTGGCAATCAAAATGAGAAAGAGAGTGAGAGAGAAAGAGAGAGAGAGAGAGAGAGACCTTGTTGGAGGGTTTTGGAGAGGCCAACACAGGTGGGATATTTGGATTTGGATTTCTGTGTGGAAGAGTAATAGAGGCAACCCTTGCATGACTTTCCCTTCGCTGAGCCATTGCTAAGATTAGGGTTAGGGTTTGGAATTTTGATACCTCCTCCACCTGCGTCTTCGCCTTCCTTATCCATCTCTCTCTCTAAGAATTAAAGATTTATTAGATTTTTAGATTATTATCTCTCTCTCTCTCTCTCTCTCTCTCTCTCTCTCTCTCTCTGTGACTCGATGGTTCAATTCAATATCATCATCATAAAGCTCTCCATTTTGGTTATGGTTATGTGCCCCTACTCCTACTCCTACTCCTCTGTTCCTTGTCTGTTGTTGTTCATTCGCTTTTTTTTTGTTCTAAGTTTTTCTTTCACTTTTCACTTCCCTCCTGATCTGCACTAGATTCTTCTGGACGTTCGATGCTAATCGGACGGCGCAAAACTGAGCACTAATAGCCGAGTAAATGATACATGAATTTGGCTAATTTTTCATTTTATTTATCACTTTTCATGTATTGTATATTAGCCTCTCCGCACGCACTTTCGTGCATGAGAGAGGCTTTTTAAAATAAAATAAAATTTATTTTAGAATTAAAACAGATAATGGGTAGTTGTGTTTCATAAAAATAGGCCATTATCTGAATTTTCTTTTAATTTTAATTTTTTTAAATATGAAAAAGTGTGAATTTACTATATTATCCTCATTTAATTAATAATTTCAATTCTAAATGTTTACATTAACCAAAGGCATTTTTTGGTGTTTTGAATGTTTCACCATTCTCTGCCTTTTGCTTTATATATATAGATAAGTTGAGGAAGGATATCCTTGTAAGGTCCACCATGCATTGTATTTTAATAATTCAAATCGTCTAATTTTTTAGATATTCCCTCAGATATCATCTTTGTAAAAAATCAATTGAATCCGAAACCATTTGACCACTCAATTAGATGGTTGTTATTATAGTATTTCAAGAGATGTTAGACAATTTATTAGATTTGCCTTATTTTTTTTGTAAGGATGACCTATGAATGAAGACTTAAAAAATAGATGGTTTTGATTGTTGAAAAAAATAATGATATGGGACCCTAAAGAGTGTCATTCCTTTAATGAAAAGGGATTGTATATTCATAATATAATAAGATTAACCCAAAAAGGTCACTCCTATTTCTTTAATTATAATTTTTTTTTTTTATACAAAGGATATTCTACTTTAATCTAATCTAAACAACGGGAAAGAGAATTCGAACTCAATGCACAATGGAAGGCACATTAACTCTAGCCAACATGTCTAAGCCTATGTCTACTCTTATATCTAAACTCTGACCGAATAAAGTGTATCTAAACAAAGCAAACACTGTGTTTTGTCGACCAAAATGTATAAAATGCCAAATATATCAGTAAAAGGGAAAATATTTGGCTTAGCTCCATGCACAAGATTGTGATTGATAAGACTGATTGGTTTGTAAGAAGAAATCAGGATGTCAAAAACGAAACAAATAACCATGAAGTGCAGTAAAATAAAAGAATAGGGAGGTATAAAGTTTCCCACTTCAATTTTTTCTTACATTTTAAGGATTCTCTTTCTACACCAATTCCACTCTCTCTCTTTGGGGATTCTCTATCTGCACTAATTCTATCTAACACGCACGTAGAGCGACAATCATTTTGTATTTCTATTATAATAATGCAAATTACTCCGTGCTAACTATGTTTTGTATACAGTACTAGATTGTAGTCTGAGTCTACAACTTTTGTTACTTCAAAAAGAGAAGAAAATCTACCATATAATAAGGCTTTTAATGAAAAAGCTGGATAAAAGGAAGCAAAAATACACTAAACTGCCCAAGTTATGGTAAATAGGAAATTAAAAAAAAAGTTTATACAAAGTCAAAACTCTTTATGAGAAATTGCTGTACAGTAACTGCTCCGCTGCTGTGTTCCCAAAATTCTTAATGGTCCGGGTGCAAATAATCGCACGATGCGCCCTTCTTGCAGTGACCACTTTCAAAGAACCTGCACACTCTCTGCCCTTTGAAAGGAGGCCTGGAAGAACCTCCTCCCCCACCTCCACCACCGAAAGACGACTGCCTATTCCAAGGTTTGCCACCACCGAAACCAGGATCACCATGAGAACCTCGATCCCTTTGATTTGGGAACCTATCTCCATTCTGAGTTGCATTGGGTGCACTCCAACCAGGATTGGCATTCCCAAGTGTTGGCCCTTGACCAGGTGGAGCCCAACCTGCATTTGCACTTACCGATGGTGGTCCTTGACCAGGTGGGACCCAATTAGTAACTGCATTTCCAGGTACGGGACCTTGGCTGGGTGCAGTCCATCCCGGACCTTGACTCGGAGGTCCCCAGTTCATGTTTGTATTACCAGGCACTGGTCCTCCCCAGGTCACGTTTGGATTTCCTGCCATTGGCACCCAACTAGTATTTTGATTCTCTTGCCCCGTTCTTGGCACAGCACTTTGGTTATCTGGAACTCCCACGCCCCAAGGTGCCTGCTGTTGTGCTGGAGGCTGAATGTATGTATGATTACTCGGAACTGGGGGTCTCCAAGGATCAGAGTGCGGAACACCCGAGAAGCCTGATGTAGGGAAATTTCCAGCTAAATTCCCTGTGTTCATAGATGAGGGAGCATTGTTGGTAGATGGAGTATTATTCCAGTAACCATGGGTGTGATGTTGTGCAGGCACAGTAGCAGCATTATTTGGTTCTATCCTTTGAGATGGAGCACCTCCCCAGGGTTGAGATTCACTCCCAGGTACTGGGCCGGAGGCAGTCATTTCCTGTTTCGGAACTGAACCAGAACCCCATCCTCGAGCATCGCTGGCAGGAGCACGACTAGTCACTGACTGAACCAGATTTTGCAGATTTGAAACTAGGTTATTCACATCAGCTACTTGATTCATTGAGGCATTGGACAATACAGGCGCTGACCCTGTTACTTGACCATGCATTCGAAGAGCAGTTGTAGAGCCCAGAAGAGTAGCATTTTCAGACTTGGGTGCTGCATTAATGCCAGGAAGAGAACTTGAGCGATCATTTCCGGAAGCTCGCAGTGCACTTTCTGGAGTAACTACTGCAGTAGGTTGCAGCACTCCGTTGCCTCCCAAGACAGAGCCACCTGGATGAGCAGGGCTGGGTGACCAATTACTTTCGTAAGCTTGCCCCCTGGCCCCACCCAATGGAGTTTGGGATGGAGTAGGTGAGGGAAGGTTTGTTGTGGCCCACCCATCTGAAGAATACTTGGGGACCTCAACTGATTGTGGAGTACCTCTGCCTGAGGAAGAATTAATTTCATTTTGAGATCCCCAACTTACTCCTCCCGCTTGGCCTTCTGTAACTCGCTGAAAGAGAGCTCCTTGAGACTTCCCAGAATGTACAGGTGAGAGATGTGAATTGTGCACCATTTGAGCCTTTGGAAAACTGCTGTCAACAAATGAAGGGTCTTTCTGGAACTTTCCAGCCAACGCATCAGTTACCAGTATAGAATCTTCTTCTTTCTCAGTGTTTTTCCAAACTCTCAAGTTGGCAGGGAAATAGCCAGTGTGATTCCATTTACGCAACTGTACCATGGAAAATGGTCCCTGGACTTTTCCAGAAGGATCCTTGTAATGCCAAATTTTTTCTGATTCATTGATATTGGCTGCAGATTGTGCTACGCCAGTGGAGAGATGCGCCACCGAATTTTCTGACCCCCCAGCAGGAGATGATTCAGATGGTACCGCAGACTGTGTACTCCTAACACCTGTTTCTAAACTTGAAATATTTTGTTTCTTCTCCCAGTGGTTTGTTTGCTGTGTTTCTCTGTCTCTTCCATGACCCCACGAATCATTTACTATCTCACCAGCTGCAGTTGTATTTTCTGCTTTGTTGAAGAACCCTTTATTTGACATGTTCCTACTTAACTCCCGATTCATATTGGAAAAATTCCTTGTCCCACTCCAGGAATCATTTGAAGAAGGTCCTGCTCTTCGTGGAGAGATTGGCTCCCTCCCCTTCCTTCCAAAGCCAGAACCTGTAGGTCTAATATAACTTTCTGCATGAATTGAAAGCTATGTTATTAATGATTGAATTAATGACAAAGATAGTTGTGCTAGAGAATTTAAGGTATAAAAATTTCACAAGAAGTTGAATGTGACCTTGTTTTTTATCATCTCCTTCGTCTTCATCTTCCTCGGACTCATAACTTGGATCCATATTTGGATCCACATGTATTTCTAGAGTTTCCTCTAGTCTACGCTGGCGCTCCTCTGGGGTCTTCAGTAGCTGCAATTTCTCTACACACTCTCTAAGCGTGAAAAGGAAGTTAAGGATTACTTCATACCTATTCCTAGTCATATTAGAGTAGCATATACAACAAAGAAAGAACATCTTTAATAATCAAAAGTAATTTAAGTTTTTATTTCCTAGAAATGAAGAAACTCATACGATTGTTTACTTTAATAGTGGTAAAATGTATTTGGGGCATCAACTTTTGGTGCAATTGCAAAGATGGCACCCCAAGCAAAATTGTGAACAAAAATGTACTAAACATTAAAAAATAAGGATATTCCTTCCTACGCCCTTTTTCACTAGCTCGATCACGAAGATGACTGAGTCTCACTATCTCCGTTTCTAACCACTGTATCAGAATAAAAATAAAGAAATAAATTAGTCATCAAAGAAAATCGAGAAAAATTAAAACAAAATTATATAACCAAGCTATAGGACAGTACAGAGGACAAAGAAATATATTCAATTTACATCTAGGAGTTGAGAACATTAAAAGGAGACAGAATCCATATTGTCTCTAAAAAGAAAAGGACAAAACAATCCTGTTTTAAGAACAAATGTGCTTGAGCTTATTATGAAATTCACTGGGGAGATGCCACTGGTTCTTGCTGATTTCCATGTTATAGTTGCCACATGATAAAGAATTAGGTGCAGATATGTTAGGTCTTTGCTTTCTTCTTGAACACGGTAAGGTTAAAAACATACTGAGCCGCTCACAACTTCAAGGTTGGATTGAGCTTGTCTATTCTATATTTGAGTTGATCATGAATTACAAGAATCAAGTACTTGCCTAATCTCAAGCTTAGGTATTTAAGCCACATGACCATATGTACGTATATAAGAATCATGAGAAACCAAGGCTTATAGAAGGATCCACAGCTCAAGTTCAAGCTTGATTGGGTTTACGATGCTAAGCAAGCCAAATGAAGCCAAACTTGAGTTTTGGATTGACCTCCCCTCAAGGTGAGCTCAACCTTGCTTGTTCAAGCTCAACTCGAACTCAAGCTGCCCTCAAGCACTGCACCTCTACAGTTCACATATCCAGTCAAGTTGGAAAAAGAAAATAAGTTGGTTCACCTAAGCTTGTATGCAACCTTATACATCATGTTTCC